CAATTGATTATAGTGGCATTTACATCACTGAGTTACATGTTATTGTTATTTGCAAGTTGAGTTCTTTATTAGTTATATATGACAGTTTACCATTCACAAATGCTTTTTTTCATCTTAATTCACTATCATGCACTGTAAAAAGACTGTTCACCAAGTAATTGTTACTGTAGACCATACAGGCTTTGGCTTTTAGATGTTCTTGTTTCTTTTAATCTGTATACTTTGTGGGAAACTTTGGATTTGTATGTTCCTATTTTAATCTGTATACTTGTGGAAAATGTATACTTTTAATGTTCACATATATAATGAATTTAAACAGCACCTTTTAAAAAAGATTGAATGTTTACGTAGATTTGGAGCAGTATCATGCATGGTGAACAGTCTTTCAATGTAGCAACCATGTCTATATTTCTCATGGTGTTTAACCTAGTTTTGGTAGATTTGTTGACCTGTTGTTGCATGCTTATGTTGAGTAAATCTTCCTTATACAGAATATACAGAAATATAAATATTATTAAATTAACTAAGATACTGTAAAATTTTCATTATAAACAAATTGATTTAAAGGAATGCAGGAAGTTGTTGTTTTTTCTTTATGTTGGTTAATAGCAGTAAGCATATTAAATAAATGACAAATAAATATGTATTGAATAATCAGCCAATCGGTAATATGTATTTGTGCTATTATTCAATTCTTAATTGAAATGTGTTTGAATGTTTCTTAATCAATAATGAGCTTTTGTTAATTAAAAAAAAAGAGTTGCACAATTGTTGGTGTAGTTTGTTACAGGATAGATTTAAAACTATAAAGAAGTACTTTTCCTAAAATCTAATTTTTTAAAGGTCAATCTTGATCAAAACTTTTAAATTTTAATCAACATGTACAAATCTGATTTTATGAATATTAAAAACAAACCATTAATATTTGTTTTTGATATAAGAAAAATTAATTTTGGGCAAACCTGCCTTATTGAGTATCTATAGCTATCACACTAATATTTCTACAAAAAATTAAAATAAAGTAAGGCAGTCTTGTAGACTTTTGCTAGACATTGCATTTTATTCAATTTCAAAGCAAAGGTTCTGTACTGATTGTCTGTAATCTGAAACTTTCTTTTTGTCAAATTTTGATAATGTTTATCATTATTTTTTTCATAGTTAAGGATGGTTTGATAAGATAATAATCACACTACAATGTGAACATACATTTCATGGAAATTCTATAGGACTTTCTAGAAACTCACTTCTTAAAGTGAATCTGATTTTAAAATTACAATTGAATACAAATTATTTCCTCTGTTTGGAAGTATACCAGTGAAATACTAGTTTGCTGCAGTGGAGAGCAATAGTGAGAAGTCAATAGAAAACAATGTGTTACTTGTAAACCTTTAATTTTTAGCTTCATTATTAAGTTTAATTACAAGAATGTTGAAAGGCAAAAAGACCTGTTTTAATTATTATATTTATATAAACCAAATATTATCTTTAATCATCAGGGGTTAAAAATCACTAATTGTTTAATCTTCATTTAGCTTCATTTCTGTAAAGCAGTTCTACTTCCAGACAAGGGAAATAACCTACTTCAAATTATGATTTCAGAGTAAAATTCAGGAAATGAGTTTATGGAAAGGGCTACAGGGCTCACAAACTAAAAAATAATTTCTTTATCCTTTATGGGTAGTCCGGATTGTAGTAGTCTAGATAACACAAATTTTAAATAAAATTTGGCAGTAATAATTAAAATAGAATACTGGATTGACCTGTTTTATTGAAGTGTTCCTTTCACATGGTGTGATTGTAAATTACATTTGTACAATCATCATGCTTCTTAATTTAACCCTTTTAATTGTTCTATTGTTATAAGGAGGATCTGTTACAATATTTTGATTGCTATTTTTTATAACTATATCATCAGAGAGAAAAATAAATATCTAGATTCACATAGACAGTTTATTTTTCTTGCATAGATCCATTTATAGGCATTGTCTTCGCATATGAATCTTGAATTTTTTAAAGATAAAAAATACTAAAGCTTAAAGGAAAAAGGAAAAAAATTAATATTTCAACTTTCATTGAATTCTAATAAGAAAGGATTTTTTTTTGCCTTTGAAATGTAAGTCTTTATGAATCCTTTGGGTTTTATGTTACTTATTAAAAAGATATTGCAATAATAAAGAGAACCTTTACAGGTTCCCTAAACTAGTTCTCAATTCTAAAAGAAAAAGATTTTTGAATTTACTTTTCTACGTAATGTATATCCCATTTTTGTCTCAGATTGGACATAAAAAAAATAAACAAAAACATTCAAATTGAAAAACCAAGATAAAGTTATCAAAAAATGAATTTGTTTTTTTACAAAAATGCTAAATTGTTAAGTTTGTCTTTTAGAAGATATCGGTAGACAAAATGACAAATACCTTTTGCGTTTATTTTCAAATATGGTTACAAGTGACTTTCATATTTTGATATATACTGAGAGACGTTGATATTTTACAGGTAAATGCAGCACAGATAGTTTGCATTGAATCACTAATGACAATATCTGATTTGTTTTCAGTCGGATAAATGCCATTTGCAAAGATAAAAGGTAAATAATCAGTCCCTTGTAAAACCCAATACATCCATTGACATCGGGAATAATATTTATAAACTATTTTTAATCAAAATACTAAAAGTAATCAGCTAGATAAATATAAACCATTGAAGAGTGAATTGTTTCCTGTTACAGGGAATCATATATGCATATTATCATGAAAAACCAATTTTAATTGCAATTCAGTATTAGATAACCAGGGATGATTTTGATCAGTTATTTTGCAACTTGATTTTTTGTTCAAAAGAAGCTTCACTTGGTTAGAGATGGGGGAAAAATGCAAAGAGGGTTTTCAAATTAATATATTTAACTGCAAAATCACCTCTGATTAATTTAAGGATTTCTATTCTTTCATTCTTTTTTTCTTTTCAAAGGTATTTAAATGCATTATTTTTAATTGTACATGTAACTTTAATTAAAAAGAAATAATCTATCTAATGCTGGTTATAAATACTAATTAGGATTTCTGCCCTTGTATTAAAGGTCCAAGCCACCATCAGGTAATGTATTTCTGCATTTTATTGCCTTCTTTGTATTATAAACATCAAACAGTTGTACTATACTCTGAATCTGTATTGACATTCAATCAAACCTGAATGGCTTCAGTCTTAAACAGATTTCTATATCCAGCCATTTTAAATAGTTTTCATTTATTTTTTGGTTTTATATTAAGGTTTTGTTATTAAAATTGCTTGAAAAAAAAATTCAAATTTAATCTGTCCTTTCTGTAAAGACTATATATAAGCAGCAAACATTTTTTTGTAATTTTGAGTAAGAAAAAGATAGGGTTGATTCTGTTGAAAAATGAAAATTATTTAAAACACTGAAAGTACTTTTGTTTGTGGGTAACACATTTTCATGGAGTTCATTGAACCACAAAAGTAAGTACTGATACTTAACAAAATACATATGTTCCATAAAGTCAAATGTATTAATTGTAAAACTATAAATTAAAAACCTTTGAACCACAAATGTTTTCATAAACCATGAATATTAATACCCACAAAGAAAAATGCTTCTTCAGAATTGGCAATATTTGAATTGCGTGTAGAAGTCAGAGGAATGGATGTCTTTACAGTCGGGGACAATTTAAAATATTTAAGTATTATCCATCTTGCGTGCCTTTGGTTTGTAGAGACAGCTCTTTCAGCGTTGTTTTACTATACAGCGTGGTTATTATTTTTTTTTACTAAAAATCATTTAAAAATAGTTCTAAAGAGCCTACTGGAGAGGGTGATTTTGATCAGAATGGCTTTAAATTAACATACAAATGCAAGAAATTTAGAAAAAAAAAAAATCTTTTTATTCAGTCAATTTTACTCTGAAATTTTTGATCTAAATTGAATTAGTGACATGATTTTCCGTGTAATAAATTGCATGGGTTTTGGTGATCAGATAAAGCTAGCATGTGTCATTCAAGTTTAGTGATTTTGACTTGCTCCCAGAAAACAAAATGACTATAGAGAACTCAACTTGTTGATGATTATTGAAATCTATTCAAATTAATATGAATATTTATGAGTTTGTAAATTCAGATATTGTTTTGATTTGTTTCAGTCTTATATATATTATACATGTATCTGCATACACTTTTTGTGTGTCATATTGTGAAACAGTATACTTAGTTATGTAAATGCCACTAATTGTTCATAAATGTAATACTTTATTGTGTTGGTTATTTTTTTATATTTATGAGTACTTTATAATGATCTACCCTTTTGAGCATTTCTGCTTTCCATATTCATTTTGAATATTGAAGTTAATGAAATAAAAGGTAATGCATGACTTTCCATCTAGGGAATACAAGATGCACTTATTTAATTATTTATCATTTTTATCTGGAACAAGAGTTCCAAGTGCTTTTCCCTTCATTATAGTTTTTGTCATATTCAAAATATATAATGCACAAGTTAAAGGGTCACGACCCTTGACCTTTGTAACATATGTTTGCTGTCTACTCTCAGGCCTGATTCCTCCATGATTCAACAGCAGGTTAGAGGGTCACGACCTTTGACCTTTGTACGTTTGTGTTTCTCTTCTAACACCTATATCTGTCTGCTCTGCCGCTAGTTGTATTAGTGGCGTGCGCCGGTTTTGGACGTTGTGTTAACCTTGCTGTTTTCTTTGACTAATCTACCCCATTATGTAATCTTTACATATTTATGTAATAACAAATTAGCTACCCTTTATTTTGTGTTGTAAATCCTTTGCACTATCTCAAGAGCAACTTACATTACTGCAGTTTGAATAATTTCAAATGAAATTTAGGAACTTGAACAAAAATGATATAAACTTCATTGTTTGGTTTAAACATTTAAAGTCTAGATATAAAATTTTACTACAAAAATGAGTAATCTATCTTAGCCATCATAAAGACAACAGACTTATAAAAAAGTAAGTTGAGCTTGGGCACTCTTGCTTTGAATATAGTTTTATACACATAATGCTTGTTACAACCTGTTTACCAAGTTCTGTAAAGTTATTGAAACAGTTGATTGATGCACAATGTTTAAGTAACATTTTCATATTGTAAGATGGGTGCTTATTAAAGGAGAAGTCTTTAAAGTTCTGCCACTTTTCAATAATATTTTAATATCTCAATAATGTACTGACAGAAAATTTCTGACTTTGTTAACCTTTATTTAAACATGTACAGGAGAAAAAAATTTATAAAGCATCTCATTCCTAGCACTTTTTACCATATATTATTTTCATAAAGATCTCAAGAGCGTAAATTATTGTTGTATATTTTATGTAAGCGTTATAGCTATATAGTTAGTCTGTAACTAATACTATTGTCCCAGCATGCAAATATTTAAAATAACCTATACAGATTTTATTATTAGAATGTTTTGTTAAATGATGCATTTATCTATCATTCCATTTACACCAACATTTTTAAGTTACAACTAGTGCAGCTGAGCTCATTTATATAAGTAGTCTTTTTAAAAGATTGGCTTTAAAGAGATAAATCTGCTTAAGGAGATATATCTTATTTTCCTGAATTTAAATGGTGTTACTAAGCTAAATAATATAATAAGAATGGTTGGTTATAACAGATCTTTTTTGTGTTGCTTTTATTTGATTTTTCAGCATGAGGATAAAAAACGGGGAGGTATCTATGTACCACTGTTGATGCTTCTGTGCTTGTATTTAATTTAGAATTCCCTTTACATATATTGCATCAAACCCATGAATTTTTACTACACTTTTCTACACTTATGTGTGAATGGGTGTTCAAACAATTTTTTCTTTGTCAAAACGTTTGTTAGATTTGATTAGGTCTTTGATACAAAAATAAAACAAATGTGAGTATAAAACATGAAAATTGTTTAGCTAGTTTTTGTTATTGTATCTTATTTATATTGTGCTATTTTATTAACATTTATTCCTTATAATTAGGCGATAACAATCTATATAAGTATTTTTATTATGAAGCAATTCTTCACGATTCTAGTTTTTCCTTCACAACCTTTTTCCATCTCTTTTCTGCAGAACATAACCTTTTTTTTTATACGAATGAGAAGTTCATTGAATTGTTTTACAATCCATTAAATATTCTTTATAGTACCAATTCTTGTTTGAAATGATAGAAACAAAATCTGAATTCATATGGACAACTGTTTATGGGCAAAGAAAGATAACTCTTAAATTGCAAAACACCAGTATAGAAATAGGTTTCACTAATATGTATGCTTAAATTTTTTGTATAAAGTATCATAGTCACTTTTTTAAGAGTAAGTACATGTGGTTATTGCATCATAGTCCAAAATTCTATAACATTTTTTTAATTGACCATATAATCAGACATTTTTCTGACACCATTGTATACCATAGAAGCATTTGGTTCCTAGGGTAACGTCACAGGTTTACTATTTCTCACTTAATAACTAATCCTAACCTTTAAATTGTATTTTAGTTTGGTGTAGGCTGCATGTTCTGTTGTTGAATGAACTTTGAAATAGTGAAATGTTAAAAGAGAGGAGTTTTAACCTGGATTGGGTCAAAGTCAATTTTATTGTGTATTCATTCATAATTTGTGCTAGATTCTTGTATTAGTTTTAGTTTTCTGTCTTGACTAGAAGGAATATCATATGTCTGTTATTAACAATAATTTGCATTTGAAGTTTCATTAATTTTTTTGGAAAAGATAATGGCAGGACTATGTTACCTATTGAAGATACCACATTTGAATGAATAAGATCAATTTTTTTCTTCATTTTATTATGTTTTGTTAGGGTTTGAAAAAACATATTCTAACTTTACCATTGAAAGAATTCTGACATGCAGTCCTCCATTGAATAGTAAAGGTAAACTTATTTCACAGAGGAATTATCAATATTTTCATATCTTTTTCTCTGTTGTAAGAACAAAATTCCTATTTGTTTAACTATTTGATAATAATTTTGTTGTTGTTGTTATCATCATGTGAATGTATGCATGATCTTTTATGGTAATTCTAAGCGCTAAAATCTGCATGAAGATACATAGGAATAAAATATAATTATAAGTCTCTTAAATGTTAAAAGGAGGTAGTAATACACCTGAAATCAGGTAATTTGTAGAAGTGTGATTATATATTTCACGAGCAGTTATAACTGGACTTGAGCTACTTCCAATACTTTTATATTTCCATTATTTGCTAGCCTTCTGTGATATGAAACCAATACTTTTTTACCATCACCATTGGTCATAAATTTTCTTCAATAAAATACACTTAAATTGTTCATTAGTCAATGCAGTTTAAACAGAAAGAAAAATTATGTTCGAATTCAGAATTTGAGAAAATAATTGAAGACATTACTTTGAAAAATGCGCAACGGTCAGTTCTTACGTGTATGAATTATGACCATCAAAAAATATTTGGGATATAATCCTGAAGACCAGTTTGAAGATCTTTTAAATTCAATTGAAGCTTCATTCAGTTGTTCACACGTCAGGGCCAATTTTAATTTTGGCACACAGAGACAGTAAATAGATGGCTGTATAGAAATATAAAAGTTTATTACAGGAAATAGCTCATCACTAGTAAAGGATATTAGACGGCTTCCAGTCTCACTAATAAGCTTTAGCAAGTTGACTACTAGAGCATGGAATGGAGAATATAAAAACAATTTATGTGCATGCTTTTCTTGACGAAGAACAATTAATGATTTTGTAGATGTTCTTAATATGGTTGAAATGGTATACTCTATAATTATAGGACAAACTTTGTCTACATTAGTAAGTGATGAATTATAGGTGGAACTTTCTTTAGCTTTCACTCCTTTGTCTTGCATGGAGTTTCATTATAATTATTTTTTAAAGCTTTTTTTTTATAAAGCAATATAATATAACATTTGTCCATACTATCATCGTACATTATACACAACCTTCATTTGACCTTCATAACATTTCTTTTTTATACTAGCACTTTTCAGACAGTAGAAATATTTTTTTACTGTTTTGTTAACATTTTAATACATGCTTTTGTCCTCAGATGTATAAATATCAGAACTTCTACGTAAAAAGATCTGTTGACAGTTTATTTTTCATTCATTAAATCTGATTTTATTAACATTTTAAGATTTTGAATTATATCATGCTGTATGCAGTGTACATGTATACAATATTAAATTGAAACAATTAAAGAAATTGTCTATAGAGATAAATAATTGAAAGCTGAATAAAATTCATATTTTTTGTTGGAACCTTCGTTATACAATTTCAAACAAGGTTTTTATTTTCTGTTCCTTGACCTTATGATACAGGTAAAAACTATTGATATATTATATATATTTTTTGTTATATCCACATATGCCTGGTAATTATATGGTGTTTTTGTTCCAACAGGTAAAAAAGTTCTGCTTTGTGTATGTAGTGATGTTCTCCTCTAGCAGACAGGTACATTCAGCTGTAAATTGTTCGGGAAAGGAATAAACATGTCCAAATCAATTTCTCACAAACGATTCAATTTTTTTTTAGGGTGTCTGGACCTGTAATTAAAATGGAAATCCGATATTTGAATTTTTATAAATGAAAAAAAAAATCACCAGTTATTATTAACTTTATTTTAGACAAATTTGATGTTCCTGAGTAGGAAATAACTTTAAAAGCCGTCTAAATCCTCCAACCAAATTTCAGAAATGAATAGTGTAACCGAAGATTTCAGATGTATGTAAATGTCGTGTTTACTTTGCATAGTACTACGGTGTTTTTGAATAATCACATTTTAAATATATGGTCTAGATACCTTAAAATGATAGTAATTTTTCTAAATATTTTTAATGTCTCTTTACTAGGGTGACAAAAAAAAGATTTTGAGTGATATATTAAGAAAAGTATAATAAAAACAGGTTGCTGATGTGACTATTAAAGATATATTTTGGTTTCTTTTTTTTGGAGGGGTGGAGACAATATATTTGGCATAGAGCTATGTTTTCTGTTACATTGTTTATTACTTTTTATGAACTTGATACTAGCTGAATGACCTGTGAATTAAATTTATTGAGATTACACTTAAATGTTGTTTTCTGTTCTTTTTTGGAGTCATAAAAATAAAATATTTTTATTCATGTCATAAGAAATTATAAAAAAAAAACAACAGTTTAAACCAAAAATAGAAAATTTTATTTGAATAATAAAAAATCAGCAGAACGGAAAATGGCATCATATAATATTGATGTATTTCACAATTTGGGATATTGCACGATCTTTTTATTTTAGTTGGTGGATGTTATTGATACATGCACTAAGAATTGCTACAATTTAACAGTGTGAAGCTACTTATAAAACTAAACACCAGAAAATCTTCAGCTTATTTTCATTACTCGGAAAGTCATGATATACTGCATGGAATTGATTTTATTGTTCTGTAATAACTATTGTATATATCCCTCATCTAAGATGAGACAGTGCTGCAAAATATATACAGACATATTTGTATGATTGAAGATAAATTATTGGACAGCTGAAAACAAGTTTATATGATCAAATTATATAATAGAATGAAAATGATATAAGAATGATTATATATTAATTAAAGAAGTAGACATGTCTATCCTTATTGCTAAATTAACAATTCATACCCATTTAATTGAAATTATGTGATAATTTCTCTGAATATTTACATACTAGCATGTACGTACAGGTAAGATAAATTCTTTTTCATTTTTTTTCTTAGCAATGCTGTGTGTTGATCATGACTCTCTGATAACCAAAAATACCATCAACATCCTTAAAGCTATCAACAAAATTGACAGTGAAATGCTATCTTAATTGCACACCGATTTTGTTTGTTTGTGATCAATTTTTGCTTGATTACATGGATTTATAAATTTCTGGTGTTTAGTATTCAATATCCTCCTATCTCTGGCATTTGGTTTGTCTAGCTTTGTCAAGTGTATCCAGTATCTTTGTAGTGTAGTCATCAGTTTTACTGGTATATTAACATTAATCAGACATTGTCCTTATTACAAGACATCTAATTCTTGCTGTAATGTTTTTCAGCTAAAGCTCTGGGGTCAAAATCTGGTCCTAAAGGAGACAATGTTGCTGGAGAGAAAACAATTGAGGTAATTTATGTTCATTTTTTTCATGTTGGAAAATGTTCATTTAAAGATACCGAACACAAAAAAAATGTAAAATTATTACTAACTATGCTTTCCCTAGAAATTCCAATTAGAATCCCTGCATAGAAGAAATTTTCAAGTAGCATCTTTGTTGATATAGTGAATCTTTGAAAAATTCATTTCAGACAGGATCAAGGCACACAACCACAGCTCTGAAATTGATAATGTGTTCAAAATTCCAAAACACAACTTCCAATTCAAGCATTGTCATGATTGTAACTTATCTATTATACATTTTTTATAGAACATTCTATACACTTTCGGCATGGATATTAAGCACAAGTTATCGCTTTTCTCTGTTAAAGCCACTTTTATGCTAAAAATGCACTCATGACATACAATGACATATTTAATATTTAGGTATAAAAACAAAGACAATTTAAAACATTTTTTTCAAATCACAGGCAAAAAAGAAAGGAAAATTACAGAGGCTGGACGTTGGTCCACCACGAAAAGTGAATGAAAAAAATGGACATGAGAAGATAAATAGCCAGCATGGACTTGAAGATGTTCCACTACCAGATGTAGACATTCCCTTGCCACCACAGAAGCAAGATGTAAATATTTGTTATAACATATTTTACATGAGGTTATGAGTATACAAAAGAAATTAGATAAGACTTCTCAAAGTGTTGGAGTTTACAACACAAAAAAATCTAGATATTAAGGGAGTAGTCATAATGCACAATTTGAAGGATAGATACTGCTATGGCTTATAGAAACAAGATGTAAAGACTAACAATAGACCACAATAAAAAACTTACAAGATTGAGCAACACATACCCCACAAAGGTAAGCAGTTTCTCCTTTACTTAAACCTGTACAAATTGCAAAACCACTAGAAACTGTCCAAATTACAAAACCACTAAAAACTTTCCAAATTGCAAAACCACAATAATCTGTCCAAATTGCAAAACCACTAAAAACTGTCCAAATTACAAAACCACTAAAAACTGTCCAAATTACAAAACCACTAAAAACTATCCAAATTGCAAAACCACTAAAAACTATCCAAATTACAAAACCACTAAAAACTATCCAAATTGCAAAACCACTAAAAACTGTCCAAATTGCAAAATCACTAAAAACTCTCCAAATTTCCAAACCACTAAAAACTCTCCAAATTACAAAACCACTAAATACTGTCCAAATTGCAAAACCACTAAAAACTATTCAAATTACAAAACCACTAAAAACTTTCCAAATTACAAAACCAATAAAAACTATCCAAATTGCAAAATTACTAAAAACTGTCCAAATTGCAAAACCACTAAAAACTGTCCAAATTACAAAACCACAAAAAACTTTTCAAATTACAAAACCACTTAAAACTATCCAAATTGCAAAACCACAAAAAACTGTCCAATTCCAAATTGTAAAACCACTAAAAACTGTCCAAATTGCAAAACCACAAAAAACTGTCCAATTCCAAATTGTAAAACCACTAAAAACTGTCCAAATTGCAAAACTACTAAAAACTGTCCAAATTACAAAACCACAAAAAACTTTCCAAATTACGAAACCACTTAAAACTATCCAAATTGCAAAACCACAAAAAACTGTCCAAATTACAAAACCACTAAAAACTGTCCAAATTGCAAAACCACAAAAAACTGTCCAAATTGTAAAACAACTAAAAACTGTCCAAATTGCAAAACCACTAAAAACAATCTTGAAAATACAGCAGCTCTCAATTGATGCTTATTTACAAATGTAAAATAAGTTACAAGTTAAAATAGCTTTTATTTAGAGGAAATTGTAATTTTATAGATTTATCAAATTGTCCTGATGAACAAGATTTGACTTGCAAACCTTGAATGATGTAAGCTCCCTATCATTTTGTAAGAATGAAAATTTGTATATTCTAATAATTTTAGGGGGCTGTTTACTCCAATATTCACAAATGTTAAGTTATGATATAAAGTATTAAAGAACAAAAAAAGATTGAATGAGAGAATTTTATTGTAAATATTATTTCAGGACAACAAAGACGGAAAACAAAATTCAAAAGAAGGTGCTGCAGTTAATAATGACAAGTAAGTAGAAATGAATCATAGCATATACACTGATAACTACCTTGTAGACTCCTGGTAGTGTGCTTGGATATAGGTCATTAATACTGCATCCAAATGACAAAAAAACAAACCCAACAAAAAAACAACTGAACTTCAACATGCAATCTTCCATGATAAAACAAGTGTAGGTTACTAAAAAGCTGCAATTTATCAATGAAAGAAAAAGATGGATTGCATGAATTTATATTCTTCCAAAAGTGAAGCTTTGATAAAAAAAAATGTAAAATTACAATAGATTTTCTACTGGAAAAAGTATTATACACATTGCATTTCACATGAGCACATTTTACTACTTGAGATTTCAATAATTTCAAGTACATCATGACAAGAAAGCATACCTAAGGTATGAAAAGCTGTAAGATTAAAACAAACATGAAATTAGGAATGAACATCTGTATGATTGTTGTCTACACTTTATAATTCCAATATATATAAAAAAAATAAAAACCTAGATTCTCATTCTACTACTTTGGAAAATTGGGGGAGGGAGGGGGGGGCAAATTTTCTTTCTTTTTTAGCTCACCTGGCCCAATGGGCCAAGTGAGCTTTTCTCATCACTTGGCGTCCGTCGTCTGTTAACTCTTACAAAAATCTTCTCCTTTGAAACTACTGGGCCAAATTTAACCAAACTTGGTCACATTCATCACTAGGGTATCAAGTTAAAAAAATATATCCAATGACCCTGTCTGCCAACCAACATGGCTGCCATGGCTAAAAATAGAACATAGGGGTGAAATGCAGTTTTTGGCTTATATCTCTGAAATTAATGCATTTAGAGCAAATCTGACATGGGGTATAAATGTTTATCAGGTTGAGATATGTCCGCCCTGAAATTTTCAGATGAATCAGACACAACCCATTGTTGGGTTGCTGCCCCTGAATTGGCAACTTTAAGGAAATTTTGCAGTTTTTATACGACCGCAAAAAAATTTTTGGGTCGTATAATGGTATGATGTCGTCGTCTGCGTCGTCGTCTGTAGACACATTGGTTTCCGGACAATATCTTTAGTTTAAGTGAATGGATCTCTATGAAATTTTTAAGAAGGTTCAATACCACAAAAGGAAGGTTGGGATTGATTTTGGGGATGATGGTGCCAAACATTTAGGAATTAGGGGGCCCAAAAGGGGCCAACAACAAGCATTTTTCTAGTTTCAGGATATTAACTTGTGTATAAGTATTTTGATTGCTCTGGGGGTTGGGGGGGATTTTTTTTCCAATTTTTTTAAGGAATTCATATTTTTTTTTTTAAATTTTCAAATTTCAAATTTTTGAAAAGATTAAAGGAGAAATCTTCAATTGTGCAGTATTGGGCAATAGATTTGTAAGATCTTTGACCACATTTATTTTGTGTCAGAAACCTTTATTATGTCACAAAAATTTGATCACAATCAAAATTCAGACAGTATCAAGCTTAAATATTGTGTCCAAATTTGCCCCAACTGTTCAGGGTTGAACCACTGCGGTCGTATCAGGCTGCCCTCAGCAAAGCATTTTATTGGTTAATATCTTTAATATTATTATAGATAGAGATAAACTGTTAAGAGCAATAATGTTCAGCAAAGTACAATCTACAAATAAGTTGATATGACCAAAATTGTCAATTGACCCCTTAAGGAGTTATTGTCCTTTATTGTCAATTTTTCATAAATTTTTGTAATCTTTTACACAAATCTTCTCCACTTAATCTACTGAGCCAAATAGAATTAAACTTAGCCACAATTTTCAATAGGATATCTTTATTGAAAAATGTATCCGATGACCCTGTCATCCAACCAACATGGCCGCCATGGCTAAACATAGAACATAGGGCTTTACTATAGAAGTTTTAAGTGAAAATTGTAAAAAAAAAAAACAATTTCAAATGGTCAAAACTTGAAAATTGATTTAAATAATGATAAGGGGTCTTCAGTAACTATTGTTAGACTAAAATAGGATGATCTGCTTTTGATTTAACTACTGGGCCAAATTAAACCAAACTTGGCCTTAATCATTATTAGGGTATCTAATACTATTTATTATGATTTTAACCTTATTTTACATGATTTCCAAAAACACAGCAGATACAGGTGAGCGACACAGCCTCTAGTTACCAATTTTGGTGAGCCATCAATAGATTTTTTCTTGGAATTTGAGGCCGAATGGAATGAGAATCTAGGATTTATTTTATTAAGGCCTAATGATATATAATAGACTTGGATCTTGTAATCCTCAATATGTAAAATGTTATTTTTTACATTTTCAGAGATGATGAGAGCAAAAGTGGAGTTGTTTCATTTTCATTCAAGAAAACTGGTACTAAATTGGGAAATACTGCTTTTAATACAGCACAGGAGGAAGATGATAAACAAGAGACAGAATCAGATGTAAAAATAGAAAAACCAAAGAAAATTTTGAGTGCATTTACAAAAGTGAAAAATAAAGATGGAACAATGGAATTAGATTGGCCATCAGAAATGATACAACTTACCACCACACAGCCAGTTATAACATTTAGCTGTAACCCTCTTATGTTTGACTTTACAGCATTGTTTTCTAAGCAAAGTGTTATGTCAGAGCGATTGAAAATTTTAACGGAGGAAGATAAAAAAGAGGAAATGAATGATAAGTCAGTGAATTCCATTGATACTGAAGCAGTAGAAATATCGAAGAGTACAGAAGTAAACGATTCCCAGGATAAAATTGTAAATGATGTTGCTAGTTCTAATTCTAAAAGCAAAACAAAAAAGAAAAAGAAAAGGAAACGTAAAAAACATCATAAGGAAATAAAAGCTGACAAGACAGAGGATAGTGAAAAGAAAAAGAAAAAGAAAAAACATAAACATAATCATGATAAGGATGATAAGGAAGAAAATAAGGAAAATAAAGAAAGCTCGTCAAAAAAGCGTACCTATAGAAAAAGGACAGCTGATACAATTGCAGAATCTGGAAACGAGTCTGATGGTAAAAAAGCAATTAAGCATAAAAAACGGAAAAAATCTAAAAAGTCAAAGAAAAAGAAGAAGCAGCCAGAAGACAAAATTGAAAATAAAAAGAGTAGTGAGAAAACACCAAAGAAAAGCAAAGCGAAAAAGTCATCAAATGTATTAGAGCATTTAATTGATGAAGTCGATGGAACTGATATCAAGATTAAGAAGGAAAATTCCACTGATGACAAAAATCCAGTGAAAAAACTGAATATGAAACCTACTACGGAAACTGAAATTAAACAAATTGCAAAAGTTACAGTAAATGAAACGAAAGTAACTCCTAGTGCTATAAACTCTGTTAAAGTTGAAACAAAGGAGTCTGGATCTTTATCTTCAAGAAAAAGACAAACCAGTGAATCTAGTCATAGTGAAGCTACTCCTAGCTCGTCAAAGAAACAGAAGCTAACCCCTCGTCTTTCAAAAGAATCAGAGAAATCCGCAACAGCCAAACAAGAAGACACATGGAGCAAACTCGAACATATTTATGAACCTAAAATGGAGGAAAACCCAAAATCTAAATGGGATACTAGTGACAGTGATAGTGAAAATAAAATGGATGCAACAACGAAACAGAAAAAGTTAACAAAAAAGACAACAGATACAACTGTGAAGAAAGAAAAAACTTCACCTACTGCAAAAACTGTGGTCAAAACAGAGACTAGTTCAGAAGTTAAGAAAAAATCCAAAAGTAAAAAATATAACTCGAGTGAAAGAAGCTGGACGCGATCACGTTCAAGATCTCGCCGATCACGTCGTAGTTCATACTCTCACAGTTCAAGTCGCTCACGTAGTCGTTCATATAGCACTTCATCATATGACTCTCGTTCAAGATCTAGTTCATATAGTAGGTCACGTTCTAGGTCCAGAAGATATCGGTCGAGCTCATACAGCAGTTACTCTTCCGGTTACAGTCGTTCAAGATCTCGCTCTTCAAGAAGTTATTATTCAAGATCAAGATCCCGGTACAGTTCTTACTCACGAAGTAGAAGTAGGTCATCTCGATATTCTACTTCAAGGAGTAGATCACGGTCTTATTCAAGGTCTCCCTCAAGACATAGTAAACGTTCCTACTCTCATTCCTCTCATTCTAGTCATGCTAGTCAAGGAAGTTCAAAAGTTATGAATAGAAAACAAAGAAGAAAGAAAACATTGAAACAAAAACAGACTGAGATGAAAAATATAGACCCCACTAGTATTCCATTGCCAGATCTTGGCACTGATGACAAATCAACAACAGAAAGTAGTGAAACCAAAACTGAAGAGAAACCAGAAAATCCTGATCCTATGAGTATACCATTACCTCATATACCTACAAAAGATGTGAAGGTAGAGAAAGTTGAGAATGTCAGTCTTATAACAGCACCTCCTCCTCCTCCACCAGGAGAGCAAACAGTTCAAAATATTCCTCCACCAGTCATGCAGAACTTTATGGCACCACCACCTCCTCCAGGTATGATGGGACCAAACCATCATCATGGCATGTATCCTGGTATGCAATATGATCCTCGAATGAGAATGCCTCTTCCGCATTATCCAAATATGCCGCCACCAAATTTTGGTGGACACTATCATGGTCATCCACCATATTCACAGGATGTTGCAAAATCAAGGTCGCCACCACCACTTCCACCTCCAAGGTCACCATCTCCTCAGCGTCCACCTCCACCAACAGAGGAGGAAGAGAAAAAGGAAGTTGAAGCAATGTCCATGGATATTCCAGCCGATCAAGCTGAAAGATTTCAAAAGTTACAAAAACAAGCTCAGAAGCATGCTATGAGATCATTGAAAAGACAAATGAGACAGTTAAAGGGAGAGAATCCAAGTGACTCTTCCTCATCTTCAGAGGAGGAAGAAGAAAAACCTGCAAGTCTGCAGGGTGAAGAATTAGAAGAAGATATTCAATTAATGCCCATCATGTCACCATCTCTTACTATGGGACAGCCAACTTACATATTGGCTCAACCAAATCAGACAAGTAGTCCTCTCGCTCATCAAATTGTAGTAGGGAGTGATGGAAGACAGTTTATTATACCAGCTGTATCTGCCAATAACTTTGCAGGTGTACCCATACAAGCAGGTGCACCTATGTTTGCCATGCCTGGAGCCCATCACTCAGCCCAGCCATCAATGTTAACTTTGACTCCTGGAGCAGGAGCCACACCAGCTCATCTTACGGGTGCTGTTCAGTCCCCATTCTTGACAGGAGGAATACCTCTTGGAGCATCATCAATTTTACCTGGACATCATCCTTTATTTCATTCACAGTTGGCTCATTCACAGTTGGCTCATTCACAGCTGGCTCATTCACAATTAGCTCATTCACAGCTGAGTGGTTTACAACAGTTGATGCCATCATCCATGTCATCAGCCTTTGGAGGACATGGACCTATTGTCGTAGGCAATCAAATACTTATACCTCGTTTAATTAGGCCCACATTATAAAACTAATTGATATGTGATAGACTTGTAAATTGTGAATATATTTAAAATAGTGATATCTGACTACGAAGTTTTCATATAAATTTGAAAACCATAAAAAAAAATTGATGGTGTTGCAAAATGTTCATTTTAAGGAACTTTAAATGTTTTTCTGAATACAAATGTATTTCATTTCTGTATGTTACAGAGTTGGAAAAGAACAAAGCTCGTTCAATGTTAGACATTGGAAAAAATTGGTCTTTTACTCTGTTAGTTTGAATTTTGCTTTATTACTTCTATATTACTATTGAACTTTTAATGGGTTTTGCATTAAGTTGGAGCTTTTGAGGGGTTTTTGTTTAATTTTGTTCCAATTGTTTCAAGTGCTATAATTTTAAGAAACTATTTAATTTGATTTTTGTATTTAAATTGTAAATTTAAATGAATTTTAAATACATTGTGTAGTTGTGTGAAAAAAGCCAAAACTCATTTGATATGAATTTTAAGTATTGTGCTTTGAAAATTTCAAAATGTGTGAAATTTTTTGTCTAAATTTGTAGAAAATGTCAGGATTTCTTTCCTTTGAATTTTTTAAAGAAATTCTTCAATTATTTGAATTTTTGTTTTTAATTTAAGGAGCATGTATCGTTAATATTTAAGAGATGGGAAAATAGATTGGTGGATGTTGTATAAAAAACACTCGTTTTGTAATATTTTTGTTGGTAAATTATTTAAAATGTTGATTGTTGTAGTTGTACAAATTCATCTATGCAAATGTCGTATATACTGATGCAGTCGAAAAGAATGTTCAAATACAGTCTGTTATTCAATTTTTAATCCCTTGTGAATTTTTAAGAATTAAAACAAAAAAATTTTCACAAATAAAATTTTCTAAAAAATTATTAAGAGTAAATTTTGATAAATATTAATCAATTAATTCCATTTTTTTCTTCAGATTAATAATTTAATTTTTGTTGGTAATATGATGAGAATCCATGATTTTATTTGATCTGTTTGTTAATCAGTCGACTGTATTGGTGACAGAATACTGGTAACCATTCCAGTAATTTTTGTTGGCAATAAATTATTTTTTATGCATTTGAACCTTTGCAGATTGTTCTTTTAAAAGATGAGCAAGTCTTAGTCAGCACTTTTAATGACATTAGAGACTTAACAATGGATTTATGATAAAGACTGTTCATTTGATTCATATAGAATATCTGTATAAGTTTAGTGATAAAACAACAAGTTTCAGTTATTAATGATTTGTGTGATTGTGGTATGAATAATGAATTTTAATTTGTTAATAATTATAATTTGTTTGTTGACCTTTAAGGAATGTGCAGACTGTTCTCCTAGTAAGGAGTTGAAAGTTATAAGGAGTAAAATAAACATAAACATGTGATATTCGATTTGTTTATCCTATTTATAGTCACTGGTTTAGTTTTAGTGATTAATTGCTGATGTAGACTTGCCAGCAACAATTGTCGCATAGATTAATGTGTGCTGTTATAATCTACGGCATCAACAAATGACGTGAATTTGCATAATTTCTGTTTCCAAATTCATGCGTTTAAGGTTACTTTATACTGTTTAAAGTGGTTGATTGATTGTTTTTGGTTGATATTTGGTTTTATAAATAATTTTTTGTGTACACACATTTATGTGATAAGGGTCAAGTAATGTCCCATTCACAAGGAAACCAGGCAGAGTTCATCTGTCTGCCTCCATCTGTCCATCTGTCCCTTCCTGTTAGAGCTCTCATGTGTACAATTCTTTCTACATTTTTTATACGACCGCAAAAAAATTTTTGTGGTCGTATATTGGTATGACGTTGGTGTCGTCGTCCGGCGTCGTCCAAAGACACATTGGTTTTCGCACTCTAACTTTAGTTTAAGTGAATGGATCTTTATGAAATTTTACCACAAGGTTCAATACCACAAAAGGAAGGTTGGGATTGATTTTGGGGGTTATGGTAATAACAGTAAAGGAATTAGGGGCCAAAAAGGGGCCAAAAATAAGCATTTTTGTAACTTCCAGACATAACTTGTGTGTTAGTGTATGGATCTCTCTGACATTGTACCACAAGGTTCCATACCACTAAAGGAATGCTGGGATTGATTTTGGAGGTAATTGCCTCCAAATTTTAGGAATTAGGGGCCAAAAAAGGGGCAAAAAACAAGCATTTTTCTAGTTTCATGACAATAACTTGTGTGTAAGTGTATGGATCTTTCTGAAATTGTACTACAAGGTTCCATATCACAAAGGGAAAGCTGGGTTTGAGTTTGGGGGTAATTGCCCTAAACGTTTAGGAATTTGGGGCCAAAAAGGGGCCAAAAAACACATTTTTTTCTAGTTTCCAGACAATAACTTGTGTTCAAGTGTATGGATCTCTCTGAAATTGTACTGCAAGGTACCATACCACAAAGGGAAGGCTGGGATTGAGTTTGGGGGTGATGAATCATAATGGGGGTTCAAAAAATTTTGGGGGGGGATTTATTTTTTTTCCTTTTTTTCCTTTTTTGTTTCTTTTAAAATTTTCCATTTTAAGTTGGTTATTTCTGATTTATATTTAAAATCAAATAATAATGATATGGTAGGAGATACACACCAAACAGGATGTGTAAATTATTATATAATAAGTATTGTGCAATAGCAAGAAATTTTCAATTGCACAGTATTGCACAATAGCAAGAAATCTTCAATTGCACAGTATTGCGCAATAGCAAGAAATCTTCAATTGCACAGTATTGCGCAATAGCAAGAAATATCCAATAGCACAATATTGCTCAATAGCAAGAAATTGTCAATTGTACAGTATTGCGCAATAGCAAGAAATATTTAATAGCACAGGATTGTGCAAAAGAAGATACTTCCTATAAATTGCTTATTTCTTGACCAATTTCAATGGGGTTTTATTCTTGATTTCATGGGGTTCTTTAATATGCTGAATCTAACCGTGTATTTAGTTTTTGGATTTTGGGCCCCGTTTTTAAATTGGTCCACATTGAGGTCCAAAGGGTCCAAAATTAAACTTTGTTTGATTTCATCAAAAATTGAATTATTGGGGTTCTTTGATATGCCAAATCTAACTGTGTATTTAGATTCTTAAATTTTGGTTCCGTTTTCAAATTGGTCTACATTAAGGTCCCAAGGGTCCAAAATTAAACTTAGTTTGATTTTAACAAAAATTGAATTCTTAGGGTTCTTTGATATGCTGAATCTAAACATGTATTTAGATTTTTGATTATGGGCCCAGTTTTCAAGTTGGTCCAAATCGGGGTCCAAAATTAAACTTTGTTTGATTTCAACAAAAATTGAATATATGGGGTTCTTTGATATGCTGAATCTAACCATGTATTTAGATTTTTGATTTTTGGGCCCCGTTATCAACTTTGTCCACATTGAGGTCAAAAGGGTCCAAAATTAAACTTTGTTTGATTTCATCAAAAATTGAATTATTGGGGTTCTTTGATATGCCGAATCTAACCGTGTATTTAGATTCTTAATTTTTGGTTCCGTTTTCAAATTGGTCTACATTAAGAATAGCAAGAAATATTTAATAGCACAGGATTGTGCAAAAGAAGATACTTCCTATAAATTGCTTATTTCTTGACCAATTTCAATGGGGTTTTATTCTTGATTTCATGGGGTTCTTTAATATGCTGAATCTAACCGTGTATTTAGTTTTTGGATTTTGGGCCCCGTTTTTAAATTGGTCCACATTGAGGTCCAAAGGGTCCAAAATTAAACTTTGTTTGATTTCATCAAAAATTGAATTCTTAGGGTTCTTTGATATGCTGAATCTAAACATGTATTTAGATTTTTGATTATGGGCCCAGTTTTCAAGTTGGTCCAAATCGGGGTCCAAAATTAAACTTTGTTTGATTTCAACAAAAATTGAATATATGGGGTTCTTTGATATGCTGAATCTAACCATGTATTTAGATTTTTGATTTTTGGGCCCCGTTATCAACTTTGTCCACATTGAGGTCAAAAGGGTCCAAAATTAAACTTTGTTTGATTTCATCAAAAATTGAATTATTGGGGTTCTTTGATATGCCGAATCTAACCGTGTATTTAGATTCTTAATTTTTGGTTCCGTTTTCAAATTGGTCTACATTAAGGTCCAAAGGGTCCAAAATTAAACTTAGTTTGATTTTAACAAAAATTGAATTCTTAGGGTTCTTTGATATGCTGAATCTAAACATGTATTTAGATTTTTGATTATGGGCCCAGTTTTCAAGTTGGTCCAAATCGGGGTCCAAAATTAAACTTTGTTTGATTTCAACAAAAATTGAATATATGGGGTTCTTTGATATGCTGAATCTAACCATGTATTTAGATTTTTGATTTTTGGGCCCCGTTATCAACTTTGTCCACATTGAGGTCAAAAGGGTCCAAAATTAAACTTTGTTTGATTTCATCAAAAATTGAATTATTGGGGTTCTTTGATATGCTGAATCTAACCATGTATTTAGATTTTGGATATTGGACCATAATAGATGAATGTCCAATTTAAAATTTTTAAGTTCTTAGACCACATTCAATCTGTGTTAGAAACCTATGCTGTGTCAAATATTTAATCACAATCCAAATCCAAAGCTGTATCAAGCTTGAATGTTGTGTCCATACTTCCCCCAACTGTTCAGGGTTCGACCTCTGCGGTCGTATCAAGCTGCGCCCTGCGGAGCATTTTATTATGAAATTTATATTAAAGGTTCTTGTTGGCAATGTCTCTGACATGTTCGAAAATCAGTGCCAAACAACTATTTTTGTCTCGCCTTGGACGGAGTAAAAAAGCGAGACATAGGTATGCTGTTTCTGGCGTCAGTGGCAACGGCGTCAACAATGTATTAGTTTGTGATTAGGTCTAGTTCATGGTGAACCTCTAGTGGTAGTTCAATGATATTTGGTATACAGTTGTATTAGCATTGGCACATCTCATTACCATGGAGATTATTTGGCCCCGCCCCCTCAGTCAAGGTCTATTGACTTTGAAACTTTTCATAGTTTACATGTATTAGTTTGTGATTAGGTCAATTTATGGGGAACCACTAGTGGTAGGTCAATGATATTTGGTATGCAGTTGTATAAGCATTGGCATATCTCATTTCCATGGAGATTATTTGGCTCCGCCCCCTTAGTCATGGTCTATAGACTTTAAAAATTTTGCTAAGTTAACATGTATTAGTTTGTGATTAGGTCAGTTCGAGGGGAACCATTAATGGTAGGCCAATGTTAATTGGTGTTCAGTTGTATAAGCATTAGCACATCTCATTTCCATGGAGAATATTTGGCCCCGCCCCCTCAGTCATGGTCTATTTACTTTGAAACTTTTGCTTAGTTTACATGTATTAGTTTGTGATTAGATCAGTTTAAGATGAACTGCTAATGTTAAGTCAATGATATTTGGTATGCAAATTTATTGGCATTTGCAAGTATCGTTTCCATGGAGATTATATAGCCCAATCCCTGATCATGGTTCATTGACTTTGAAACTTTTACATAGTTTACAAGTTAATGTTTGTGTTTAGGTTTGTTTAAAAGGAACGACTTATAATAAGTCAATGGTATTTGGTATGCAGTTGTATTAGCATTGGCACATCTCATTCCATGGAGATTGTTTAGCCATGTACCTTCAGTCATGGTTCATCGACTTTGAATATTTGCATAACTTACATGTCAAAGTATTGCTATTTTAATTTCAACATTTGCATTATCAAAATTACAAAAAGGCGAGACATATCTCTGTGATAACAGTTTATTATAGAACTTGTGCTCCTTGGAAATATAAGATATTTGGAAAATTTCATTGTTTGCCCTCTCAAGCCTACATTTCTAGTAGGATTATTATGAAAATTACATCTAAGGTTTATCAGCAATGTCTGGGGCTAGTTCCTAAATCAATGCCAATCAACTATTTTAAAACAATTCATGCCCTAAGAAATATGAATTATTTAGCATATTGTAAGCACTCCAACACCTTCATTTCTCAAGCATAAATAATAAAAAGACTAAAAGAAACTTGATTATACACAAAGTTAGGTTGGTATATAAGAAATAGCCTGTATGCCCGTCCATCTGTTTGTCCAAACCAACTTATTTTTCCATTGTTTGATTCACTTCAAACTTGGCAGAATTATGGATCATCATATGCACAGTTCAAGGTTCATCAGATGGTTTTATTGACTTATTATGCATTTATATGCGTCTCTTTCAGTGAAGTTGTTTTCCAAAATGATCCAAAATGAGATCAATATATAACATTAATGTCACGAATATGGGATCTGGATGTTTTCAAATCTGCAGTGGTATGAATATTTACATCAAATTTCTACATCCTTACTTGCCATAGAGTAGCATAGCATCACTGTAACACTAGTTCAATTTAACATACTTGCCATTGTTGTGTACTGTTCAATAGATGTTTGAGTACGTCAGCATCAAGGCTAAAGTAAATCGGTTCTACCGCTATTTACAATCACATTTTTAAGCAGTTAAGCTGCTTTATGCGAGCACCCTAGATTTGTGTTCTACCCAATAAATGCTGAAATATGTGCCATTGTTATTATCTGGCTGGCTATTATGTTATTTATAACTAATTGAACACTTTTTTCATACTTTTAATTCTGGAATACAAAAAATATGACCAGAAAAACCTTAAATGATCGTCGAACCACCCAAAAGTTTTGAAGTTGCACATAGGAAGTAGTGCTCAATAGAAATCCTTATGTAGTTTATTATCCCCTGTGCTTTTGGCCAAGATGTCAAAGAACAATTGCATGAATTATTTCATCGCCGAAAATCTCTAATTACAAGTCGTTTACAGTTGCCAAATGGCACAAAGCGCAGGAATATTGTATAACGGCTGTGACTAATATGACACGGAGTTGAAGTCTCAGTTGGCGGTAATTTTAACTTCGTCGACAAAACGTAAATCAAGGACGTTTTAAATTTGGTGATTTCTGATAATAATCATTTTGTTCAACCGCTAGCTTTATACCGAAAATCGCCAACATGTTAGGTGTAAATCCGAGTAAATCGTATCTGACAAAAACAACCAACAGTACCCATCAGCGTGTGTGAAAACAGAACCTATGTCAATTAAGAGCCGGAAGTGAAAATAGAACCATATGTTACACATGCGTTATAGCCTACTAATAGACATATATATCTACCCAAAAGATAATGTGAACTGTCACGATACAGGACTTATTATCAAATTAAGTAGCTGATATAAACACACTTTCTACACAATTATCAATGGACATCATTAAACTGCTGAACTGATAATAAAAAAATGCACGAATTAAATGGCAACATTTAAATATCTTGCTCTGTTAAAGACACATAAATTTATGTTCTGTTTGGCACTGATGAATGAGAGTCTGGATGGGGTTTACAGAAAAGAGAATAATGGTAAAAAAAAAGGTGCAGAATAAATAAAGAATAGAGAAAAATTGGCAAAAATGATAATAAAAAAAATAGAGAAGAGTATGGTGAACAATTATAAAGAATAAAGAATAATGGGCATGCAAAATAAATAATAAATATAGAGAAATGATCTAAAAAAATTAAAGAATAAAGATATAAAGGAACCCCCATCCAGACCCTCATGAATATTTGGTTCCAGTTCTATCGTAATTATTGACAAACGCTTGTTGACCTTAATTTTGAAGATACAATTGTACCAAAAAAAAAAAGAAATTATTGAAAGCTTAGGTATTGGGTTGATGAACGCTTCACTGTACCAGTAAAGTAAAAAAAAATGTGTATTTATTTTATATCTGGGACTAATTGAAACATTTATCTATTAGTCCCAGTTTTATACATATTAAATTAGTCTTATTCAAAATTAGAATGTAATATGTGTTTTTTTCAAAGATATCAGACAGAACGATCATGACACAATGTCTATAATTACTACATTTATGAGTATTTCTAAAATATTAAAATACGATTACTATTACACATGCATTTTCTCCCCCGTGAAAATTACTTTGATTTAAATAACTTAAGTTCATTGACCAGAAAGTGAAACTATTTATGAGTAAAACAGAGGTTGGAATTTAAAGAGAAAGATTTATTTGACGTAGTTTATTTATGTAGGCATGTAAATGATTAAAAATCTTTAAATGACAAAAAAAATTAATATGATTATCTACTAAATGTCTACATTATTAAAGCGTCAAAACGAAAGCGATTTTTTTCTTCGTTCTGTTTAGTGGACGACTATTTGATTTTCGGGGGAGGGGTGGGAGGAGGAAATCCGCTAAAAAAAATATGCATGCGTAGCCATGAACAGATGTAAATAAATAGCCAATCCACAAAAACCCAGAATATCAAATGCCCGTCCCCTTAAGTAAAATAAGGATGAAGCCATGTAAGAGGGTATGGATGGGGGATCCTTAATTTCTGTCTTCTTTAAATTTTTAGGGCATTTTTCTTTATCTGTAAGAATAACGCTTAAATAATTTTACAATTAAAATTTTCTGTAATTGGAGGATTTCTTTATTCTGTACATCGTTCATTTCTCTAATCAGTAAAGTATTACACAATTCTTTTATTTTCCAGTTATTCTCTATTCTTTATATTTTCTGCTCATTTTTCTCTATTCATTATACGTGTTATATTTTTTTGCCATATTTCTCTATGAATACCCCATCCAGACCCTCATGTTATTGTAACGTAAATCTCTGTAATTTATTGTTATACTTACACTGTATTTTTCCCCTCTGAATTTTTAAAATCTTCTTTCCCTTCGAAAAAGACTGAACAACGATACACCTATGTCTATATATATATATAAGGTGTAATTATGAACCAAGTCAGTATATGGAATATATATAACGTGTTAATCCAGAACCAAACATGCAAATTTAGAACCAACGCATTGTTAATCCAGAACCAAGTCTGTATATGGTATATATATAACGTGTCAATCCAGAGCCAAACATGTAAATCCAGAACCAACACCTTGTCAATCCAAAACCAAGTCTGTATATGGTATAAATATAACGTGTCAATCCAGAACCAAGTTTGTTTATGGTAAAAATATAACGTGTCAATCCAGAACCAAACATGTAAATCCAGAACCAACACTTTGTCAATCCAGAACCAAGTCTGTATATGGTATAAATATAACGTGTCAATCCAGAACCAAACATGTAAATCTAGAACCAACACCATGTTAATTCAGAACCAAATGATTTAATCTGTTTATGGTATAGATATAACGTAAGCATCCAGAACCAAACATGTAAATCTAGAACCAAGTCTGTATATAGTATCTATATAACATGTGAATCCAGAACCAAACATGTAAATCTAGAACCAACGCCTTGTCAATCCAGAATCAAGTCTGTATATGGTATATATATAACGTGTTAATTCAGAACCAAACATGTAAATCTAGAACCAACACCTTGTCAATCCATAACCAAGTCGTATATATGGTATAAATATAACGTGTCAATCCAGAACCAAACATGTAAATCTAGAACCCACACCTTGTCAATCCAGAACCAAGTCTGTATATGGTATAAATATAACGTTTTAATTCAGAACCAAACATGTAAATCCAGAACCAAACAAGTAAATCTAAAACCAACACCTTGTCAATCCAGAACCAAGTCTGTATATGGTATAAATATAACGTGTTAATTCAGAACCAAACATGTAAATCTAGAACCCACACCTTGTCAATCCAGAACCAAGTCTGTATATGGTATAAAT